GACCGATACCAATACGTAATATCGGATCGGTCCATCTCTAGTAAGAAGTGCCACAAAAAGTAAGTTTTAAAATTAAGGAGAAAACCCCCCAAAAGAGCCTTGATTCCTCTCTGCCACAGCAGGAATCTGCAGTGCCTTAGCTCATTTTAAAGTAACAGATGAGAATTAACAGATGTCCCTCTTATGTTTGTCTCAGGTGGACCTGGGTGGTGGACTGAAGCCTCCCGGTTACTATGTGCAGCGTTCCTGTGGTCTATTTCCAGCTCCGTTCCCTCAGGATAGCGAGGAACTGGAGCGAATCACCAAACTTTTCTACTTCCTGGGCATCTTCTTGGCCAAGTGCATTCAGGACAACCGGCTGGTCGACCTACCAATATCACAGCCCTTCTTTAAGCTGCTCTGCATGGGGGACATCAAGTCTAACATGAGCAAGCTGCTATACCAGTCTCGAAGCTCGCCGCAGGGTAACGACCCTGAGCGGCCCCACCTGCAGCCCTTCCTGCTACTGTCTGAGGTGCAGTCTGAAGCATCGACTGAGGAAAGCCAGGAGACGTACTCAGTGGGCAGCTTTGATGAGGATTCCAAATCTGAGTTCATCATGGACCCACCAAAACCAAAACCTCCAGCTTGGTACCACGGTATCCTGACCTGGGACGACTTCCAGCTTATCAACCCACACAGGTCTCGAGACAGTTTTTAAAGTCTAGCGTTCTCACAGGCAGCCTGAAAGCTCATGTTTTACCCAAGCAGGTCACCCTCTAGCTCACTGCTGAACCTGAACACATCCTGTGACATGTAGTATTGCTGAAGTTAAGTTCTAAGAAAACCATGAAAAATAAGATGTGAGTTTTGGTCATTTTGAAACTTCTTGAAATCTGAGCAGCCTTAATTTTAAAGCACTAACAACAGAAACTTGGAAAGTGTCTGCCAACACTAAAAGGCTTGTGTTATCATCTGCACAAGCTGATGTGGTTTAACAACATTTGGTTCAATTTTGTTAAAGTGAAGCATGACTGAAACCTCATTCAGACAGAATTAACATGCAAAGTTAAGGAGGCAGAGCATAAAAAGAATATGTATTTTAAACTTGTGAAATTCTAGGATCTGTTCTGGTCTGCAGCAGAAACACAAATGGGGAGAGAGACGCACTAAACGAGTAGGAAATGATAAAGTCACAGAGAAAGCAGGTCAACAATAGAATAACTACCCTACAGCAGACTCATGATGACCTTTTCCTCTCGCTCCTCTTCCTGCCTCCTCCAGGGCGAGTTTCCTGAAGGAAGTGAAGGATCTGGCAGTGAAGAGGAGGCAGATTCTGGCCAGTAAGAGTTTGTCTGAGGATGAGAAGAACACCAGGCTTCAGGACCTGATGCTGAAGAACCCGCTGGGCTCTGGACCTCCCCTCAGTGTCGAGGACCTCGGGTAAGAAAAGACACATACAAAGGTGCTGAAGGTGTTACTCTTGTGGTAACGTGATCTGCATCTTTAAGGTTTGCTTAGAAGGGCTAGAGGTTAGTAAAGACCAAGACCAAGAGGACCGTGATAATAGCTGCTTTTTACTGTTACGCCTATAGTCCTGTCAGTCTAAACAAGACCATCCTAGTGCTTATTTCAAGTAGTAGACAGAAAGTAGGGAAAGTTTAACCATTTCTAGTGACCAAAAACCCCCCCAGCTGATTCTGACCAGAGGAATAACCTGTTTTGATAGGTTCCTACTGGTATCCATGCCAGTAACAATAACTGTTATTTATCCTGCTCAGCAAGTTTTTAGTGCTTTCACTGTTCAGAAAGGACCTCTTACTGAGGGACTTTTGACTCTTGACCTAACATACTCTGGAATCATGTAGTTTGCCATTTGTCAAGTAGGCATTAAATTTCATTAAATGTTCTGAAATGCAACTACATTGCAGGCAGTCAAGTTCGGTAATGGAGGTTAGTGCTAGCAGCTGCCTGTGCCAACATACCTATGGGAGAAATGTTTCTCCCACTGAAAACGCTAACCCCAGATAAACAGAATCCACTTTTGGGGATACCAGACTGTAGATATAGTTTTTAATGCTCTAAATTTTTCATTTTAACATTGCGAGTCTAAGGGATTCACTTCCTTTTGGAGCCAGCCTCAAGTGGTACCTAAAGAAACTGCAGTTTTGAGGCTGATGAACAAAGCCAACACACAACAGAGGGTTCTCCTTGCTCTAATCACAGCATACACAGCACGCTGAAGTCAAACTGGAGCTACCCTTTACCAAGAGCTAATAATAGCATTAGCAATTCATTTAAAAATCAAAAAAGACAAATGAAATGGCAAAGAAAGTGGTACATGGTTATTTGGGAAAAGATGAAGATGAGTGGTACCAGGAAAGGTTTAGCATTTGTTTGCTTAAAATAAACAACTGAACTGAAACAAAATGACATTCACTTAACAGCACTATTTTCTTACAATAATGTTTTCACCAGAAACTGAGATCTGAAAAATCTTGTTTCATGTGAGACCACATGGGTTAGAATAAAGTCTTATGAAGTATTTGGGTACCGAGATTTAACTAGGCAATCTTTGTTGTGGTCAAAAACATCTGAGCACATGAGCAGCTCAGTAAATAACTTGTTCTAGTTCCAGCTGACAAGCACACATGCTGTCAGGACTGTCGAATACTTGAGTTCAGTATTGCAGTGAAAGAGTTTGCACAGCAAAAGCAGAAAGTTTAAGATTTTTGACTTGTTTTCCCATATGACACAGATGTTTGACAGCCACTTGAACTTTTCTCTGCAGGTTAAACTTTCAGTTCTGTCCATCCTCCAAGGTTCATGGTTTCTCTGCAGTGGATCTCAAACCAAATGGAGACGATGAGGTAAAAATGCCTCAGAGCAAGCTTCTTATGTGGATGGAAATATCTTCACGTAAATTTGCACATTTTACAAGAGTTCACTGAGTGTTTTCTGTGTGTATAGATGGTGTCCATGGAGAATGCAGAAGAGTACGTGGAGTTGATGTTTGACTTCTGTATGCACACTGGCATCCAGAAACAGATGGAGGCCTTCAGAGGTAAATGTGCAAAACTGGCACATTACTTCTCTACAGTGTCCTGTCAGTGTGGAGAAATCTGTTTTGCACTCTTTGCATGTTTTTCAGAAAAAAAACACAAAATAAAATGGTTTCCTGTTTAAATGAGGAAAGAGGTGGACAACAAAAAGCAAGAAAGTAGTGCTCTGTGTTCACAGGCAGTTGTTTTAATGCTGGGAATGCCGTTGACGCGGCCTAATTGGACTTGGTCTTGGTAAAGTTTGAGCTTTACCGAGGCCAACAGGAGGAGATGCTATTGGCAACAACATGAAATTTTGAAAAATACACAGCTGCCAATCTATTCTCACACCTGTTTCTAACCTGAGCTCCTTACTTTTTTTTTTTTTCTAAAGATTGACTTTCATTTTAGACCCTTATGTTCTCTCGACTCATTGTCACAATAGAATTGATTCCATTGCGACAAGAAACTTTTTTGGTTCCCTTTCCCTGGCAGTTTAGTAAATTTGTGATTATTTCTAAAATCTAGTGAATACTTGGATATCTAATATCATAAATGTTTCCTCTCCTCCTCAGAGGGTTTTAACCGAGTGTTTCCAATGGAGAAACTAAGCTCTTTTAGCCATAAGGAGGTGCAGATGATCCTCTGTGGCAACCAGTCCCCTTCCTGGACTGCTGACGACATCATCAACTACACAGAACCAAAGCTTGGTTACACCAGAGACAGGTATGACATGTTACATCAACACTAATGGAAACACCAAAAGTTGATTCTGTTCATCTGGACGTAGCGTCATGGTAACGTTACGTCCAGATGAACAGAATCAACTTTTGGAGATTTACTTTCCTTGATGATTGAGAATGCTAATGGAAACACTGAGCTACGGCATCGTGTATTTAACCTCTCCTCCTCCTTCAGCCCTGGCTTCTTGCGGTTTGTGCGAGTCTTATGTGGAATGTCATCTGATGAGCGTAAAGCCTTCCTGCAGTTTACCACTGGCTGCTCCACCCTGCCACCTGGTGGTCTTGCCAACCTGCACCCCCGACTCACCATCGTCAGGAAGGTAAACTAGCTCTCTGAATGACTGAGTTTGTTAATGTGTGTAGTTTTAGTCAGTAAGCTGACTGACTGTTGCCTCCGTAGGTGGATGCCACAGACTCCAGCTACCCATCTGTCAACACTTGTGTTCACTACCTGAAGCTGCCCGAGTACTCATCTGAGGACATCATGAGGGAGCGCCTGTTAGCCGCTACCATGGAGAAAGGCTTCCACCTCAACTGACCACCGCTGCCACACTGAGCATGCTTCTCAAGTCATCTGTCCGTCTCGCCTTGTGACTGACGGATCAGCCAGCCAATTCAAACCAGCTGACTGACTGACGGCCGGACCTCCTGCTACAGGAGGAGGAGGATTTATGTTGCAGAAACAAAATGAAAGAAACGCTGTCACATCTTTCACACCTCTCTGACCGCCTCCTTCATCATCATCAGCAGCAGCATCCTCTTCCTCACCATCCTGAGCTGCTGCTGCTGGTCTGTTCCCAGCTTTGATGCTGCAGGCTTGCGTGTGTGTGTGTGTGTGCGCGCGTGTGTGTGCTGATCTCCTCCTCCTGTCTGCTCTCAGTTTGGTGCCTGGTTTGACTCGTAGCTTCTGTTTTCACTTCCTCCTCCCTGAAATGTTCATGGATCCCCGCCTCCCCCCATTTATTGCTTTTTGTTTTTGTGTGTGTGCGACAGTTCTCTGGTTGTTACTGACCAGTTGTAAAGGTCAAAGGTCAGAGAGCCTTTGGTGTTTGTTTTACAATGAAGCTATAGAGACAAAAACACTGGCTGTGTGCAAGGCACATCTAAAGAGAAAGATTAAAAAAAAAAAGAAAGCTCTGCTATCCCTGTATTTTCTTTGTATATTATAAACATTTATTTAACTCAAGTTGCAGTTTGAGGTAAACAGATATTTTCAAATGTGTATGCTCCAAAAAAATAATCATTAAAATGTTTGCAAAGTATGAAGTAAAGAATGAGTCTTGTGGTCTGTGGAAGAATATGAATCTTTGATTTTTTTTCATTTCGTTTGCACGTTTAAGTGTTTCAGTATTACAACCGCACTTCAACCAACATGAGGCTGAAGCAGATTCATCATCTACAGCAGTCCAGTTGCTGAGAATCACCGCGTAGAGATGTAATTGATTTAGATATTTATCTTGTAGCCTTTTTCTAAATTTTTTTTGAAAACTTATCATACAGATGTTTCAGTATTAAGGATATTATGTTTAAAAAAATGAACTAGAGTTATAGAATTTTTATTTTGTTTTTTTATTGTTTTATTACATATTAGACAGCTTTTAAAAAAAAACTTTTTATTAATGTTTTAGGTTTATAAATATCCAAAAAAATACCACCAAATGTCTTTACATTTTGTTACAGATATTTTACATGTCTGGCCAGCTCAGTCAAAACAATTCCTGTGGACTGCCCAAAAGGCAAATTTAAAAAAAAAAAAAAAAATGTAATTCATTCCCCGCTAAATTCACACAACCGGTTTTCTTCCTGAATAATTCAAACTGGCCAACTTCAGAGGGAGGCTTCCTTCTCTCAGCTGTGCAGCTCGAACATCTGGATACACTGTACAGATGTGTATTAATATACTGACCAGAGTACATGTGGGCACTGAGTTGTTCTTTTTATTATTTTAACATCAGTACCTTTAAGCAGATTCTAAATTCAGACTGTAAGCTGCAGGCCAGTCCTCAGCCTGAAGAACAGTCCGTGACTTCCTTTCTTCTTTTTGTTAGCTGTCCACCATCTTGTCAATAGTGGTGAGGGGTGCGAGGATGCGGCTCTTGTTTGTTTCCACAATGTGTCCGTTTTGGATCATCTCATCCAGGATGATATGAACTCGATCCAGATTGAACATTATCTGATAAAGGTGAAGGGTCAAGGAAACAAGGAAATAAAAAAGACAAAGACTCCTACTGAACAACTAGTGATGGGTAATTTTTACATGAATATTTGACCTCAGCTCTAAATCTATTGTGTGTCTCCAGGTTATTTTATTTTATTTTTTTTGCCATTCTCTGTCCTTGTCAATGGTCACTGTCCTTCAGCTGACTATAAAATGTATATGAAGTAGCTTTTAAATAATAATATCATTATTATTATTATTTGAAATTAGTTAATAAGCAATTAAAAATTACTGGGCTTTGGTAAAATATACACTGTGCTTTTAGCATGACTCTTATACATGCAGTGTGTGCAGCTGTGGTTGTGTTACAGGATACATCCAGTTCACTCTGTAGGGAGAAATACACATTAGACTGAAACATTCAAACAGCAGCAGCTTCATGCATTTCAACAGTGTCTTCATTTGTTGCTACAGACATTTCAAAAAGTATACAATATATGTTTGAAACTGTAATCATTACTTTTAATGCTTGTAAGACTCTTCTGTCAAGCCAGCCTCCAATTCGAGACTTGCAGTCAAGCTAGCCTCCAGTTTGTTTTCTGTTACCTGTGTATTCAAAGTATTACGGGAAGAGATGTGGAAACCTGACTTCAAAATAAAAGCTAACTTCGAGTGAATTAACAGATATGTTAAGAACATAATAACATATAATTTAGTCTTGTTTACACACTCTAATGTTAGAGCCACATGACACAACCTTGTACCCTAGTAGTGCCCTGTCAATATCAAGGCCATCTTATTTTGGATTTCAAAGTAAAAGCCCTGTGAATTTTCATTTTTGAACTACTCTTTCAAATAGAGTAGAATAGAATAAAGCTTTATTATCCCAGGGATGCTCCATAAAACACCCCTCCAATAGCCAAACCCACCTGTTCTCTGATTGGATAGTTAAATTTGTGATTGACATGACATTGGCCAATCAGATGAAAGGAAGAAAAAACGGGTCAAAATTCGTACTTGTAACTTGAAATTTGAGCGCCGAGTTTCACACCTATTTTTTGTCCACACACAAATCTTTTTTACGCACACAAATTCTTTTTACACGTACAAATCTTTTTTATGCACACAAAAATTATTTTTACACATACAAATCTGTATCCGGATCGGGTAGTGACTGTCGCTACCCGATCCGTACCGGAAACCCGATCGGTACCCCGCATGCGCAAATCTTACGTCACTTCCTCTCTTTGCCAA